ACCAGCTTTTTCATAAATAGGTAGACAAAGGTGCGCATTGGTATAGGTCTGCACACAAAGGAGTGGTCTGTGTACAGGATGGATCAATGCATGATGACCAGCAGGTCAGCCATTAGCAGCAGAATTGTTAAGACACATCAGTTTTCCTGGGTTTAAAAAAGAAAAATCCAAACTTTTCCCTTTCTTTACAGGTGACATTTAAGTTGAAAATGGGTGGTGGAGAGAGGTTCAACGTTCAGGTTCCCCAGTCTAGAAATATTACCAAGAACCATCAACAACTTAAAAACAGGCAGAAGAATAAAGACCAAAATTCACAGATGAAGAAAACCTATATGAAGAAAGAAAGAGGACATGGATGCAACTCACTGTCCGGTGCATGGCAGGCCATGCAGAAGGCAGGAAAGAACAGCGTTGATTTCCCCTGTAATCAAAATTGGAGTCCTAATTTATCAAATTGTAAGCTGTTTTTCTCGCCTCAAGCCAGTCAGAACTATGCTGGAGCAAAGTTTAGTGAACCACCCTCACCAAGTGTTCTTCCTAAGCCTCCGAGCCACTGGGTACCTGTTTCTTTTAAACCTTCTGATAAAGAAATAATGACATTTCAGCTTAAAACACTGCTTAAAGTCCAGGCTTGAGATGGAACTTTAAATCTTTTACAGTTATTTAAATTTATAGGCCTCCAAATTTGAGAGTAGTTATTCAGAACTGCAGATGCACAGGTAACAGGACCAGATGTTCTTGCTGCGTATAAGTGAAAGAGAAGGGGATGGGGGGGAAGTTTAAATCCCCAGTGTTTTACCTCAGAAGTTGTGTACTTTGTTGATTTTGCTGTTACATAGGGAATTTCTCAATACTTAATTTGATTAAATCCTAAACTGTCACCACTTACTGTAGGAGTAAATGAGACGGTCCCTAAAAATTGAAATTGAGAGTCCTTTTTGTTAATGGTATTGGAAGACCAGCTTTTATGGAACTCAATGCAGCAAAAAAACCCAACACGCTGAAAGCTTTAGTCAGGTACTCTGCCTTTTAACCTAGTATCAGATTTTCTAGTTAAAAGTCTTCTGAGCAGAATTTCCTAGTTGTACCCAGCTGCCAGTGGAAATGCAAAGATAATTTTTTTCATACCTCTGAGGTCTGACACTCAAACTTTTGCGACTAAAATTTAGTTTTAGGAAACATTTTTACATGTTCTTGAAAAGGTGGAAGAACACTTTAAGGAGGTCTGTGTTTCAGTCTCATTCCAGCAGTATTTCACTGGAACCTCAGCAAGGTAGACTGTGCCAATTAATGACACGCATGCATTGCCAGGTGACTGCCAAAAAGATCTTCCAAAAATTATTTGTATTCTGATGCACTGATAAGTTCTAAAAATTTTTTTTGGTATCATTTGCTAATTTTAAGAAAGCTGGAGTGGTTACTTAAGATAACTAAGTTGGTTACCCTATAATTAAGTTACGATACCTTGTGTAGGCACACGTAGTGTTTGATAGGGAAAAGAGAGCCATGTAAATAAATGTAATACTTTGTAGCATATGTAAATTTATGCTGGGCTTTCCTGCACAGAGGTATTTTTAGAAACTGGTAAATGTAAGATGACCATGCTGAGTTTGTGGCCTGATCTAAAAAATATAATTAAAAAATTATTTTGTTAAACACAAAAGGACATTTGTGGCTGTAGCCTTGGACTTAATATACAGCGAATGTGTACATTTTACTTGGTGTTGGGGTCATTTTTAAAATGAATGCAGTGCAAAAAATAATTATTTAGAAATTTGTAATAAAATTTAACAGAACTGCTTAGTTTAAGATACTTATGCTCTGAATGTTGTGCTTACAATCAAATTGGGTGTCACAAAGGATAGTTTGATGACAGTGAAGGACTGCTTCATTTTGGAAGCAGAATTTTAGTATTTACTAAAATTTGTGAAGTTCAGTTCTTGGGTCAGTGTCAACATATTGATTTCAGTGCTGTCACAGTTCAGCTGATCCTAGAATAAAAACAACTGAACTGTAGCAATTAGAGTCTGAGATTATGCAAAAATCCAATAACAACTGAAAAAGTGGTTTAACTCAAAAGGGAATTTTGGCGACATTATGGAATGCTTCTTAATGTTCTTTTGTGCATTCAAATGTGGTGGCAGCTGGTTGAATGCTTACAGATCTGTCAATTCAAAATGTGATGGAAGTGGCTGTCTTTAAACTCAAGTCTTTCTGATTTGGACCTTTACAGCTGTAAGAGTACAATTGTTACAATTGTGTATACTGTATTTCAAATTGTCATTTACTGCACATGTACAAATTTGAAGTGGAAAAAAAAATAAAATACCCCCCAAAAAGTGTTTTAAGATGGTCGTGGAAAAGTGGGATGGCATTCTTTCTATGGAGTGCTATAAAGTACTGACTGCATGGCTCTAGTCTATGAATCTCAGAGGAACCTGGAAGTTAAACTCAGCAGTGAAGGATGTTTTTTGAATGATGGCCTTGTCATTCATGTCTTGCCCTTCATGTCTTGCCCATGATTTATGAACACAGAGCTCAATTCTTAATTCCAATGGAGTTAAGAAAAACTTCAGCGCCCCCTGAAGTTCTGTCAGGCTCCGCTCCAGAAGGCGACTCGCAAGCAAGACAACCCAGTCTGAGCAGATGCAGCTCGTGTAACTGAGCAGAGCTGCACTCCTGCTTTCTGTTACCTCATAAGTGGCTGGCTCAAGAGCTGAGCTAGAAGAGAAACATCCTTGATTGTTTCAGTGCTTGGTGACGAGTCTGCAACAATCTACAGCTGTATTAATTAAGTCAGAAGGTGCTCTCAAGTTATAGTCAAAACTTTTACATTTTATTCCCAATTCACAGGGTTATTTGCACAGATGGAACACAAAACTCCAGAAGAAAGGATGTGTATGAATAAAACATTAGCATCTTTTGATCAAACACACTACAGGGTACATAGTTTTCCCTTCCTATTATAGTCTCATCAGTAAGAGCATCTCTAGACAATTATTATAGCAATGGACTACAGACTTTAAGCATGTTACAAGATAAATGGAGAAAACCAGCAAATATTAATGGGTGATTACGTCCTAAAAATGTGTGAATTTTTCCTTTGTACTTCAAACCATTATCTGCAACACTCCTGCCAAAAATCATAGCAGTGCTGCAGCGTTTATCAATCCAGATGGCCTCTGAGTATATTCCAAGCTGTTACCCCAGACTAAACATTAAGGAAAAAGAAAAAAAGCTCTTTCCAAGAGCAGAGTTCAAAATAACATTTAAATTGAAAATTTCCACTTTGAATAAAGCCATTATACTGCACATTTAAACATATTTAAAAGACACAGAAAGGATAACATTTAGCTTTCAGAGACCGGTCTGCCATAGTCCCTAGTTTAAACACCCAGCTACTTAACCACTAAATTTAAGATTTTTAATTATCAGTTGGGTGCATGGACTTTTAGTGAAAAAGAAGTTCCAATAGAGCCTTCTATTACTGCTGAGATAAATCAATATTCTGCAAATATTTTGGAGTACAGCCATTACTTTCAGCAGAATTTTACACACTACTTCAATTCTACAAATTTTGCAGGAATGACAAGATCTAGCTTACCACAGAAAACATAATTCCCACCATTCTTGAGACTCCAAAAGAAAGATGCTTATACATGATCTTTTGCAGCCTGCATGTTCTTGCATTCCAGCTGTGCATAACCTGCAGGTAGCTTGCACTAGACAGGCTACTGTTTTGTTTTTTTTAGAGCAGGAATGGGATACCTGCATCAAGGAAGGGAGATGTTATCTAGATAGGCTGTGGCTTGACTTGCATGAATGCATAAACATTCCCTGCCCTTTTGGCCACATCCTGCTAACTCGTCCCCAACTGAAAGGCCCACAGAACAGCTTCTTCACAATTTTTCCATGGGAGCAAGAACTAGGACAACATCTTTATTCATGCACTCTTGAAACATCGTGGGTTTGTGTTCGGCTTTTCTGGCTTGTTCATATACACAAGTCAAGTCAAAGTTTAGTCCTACCTCTGGGAGAGAAAGAAAGAACCATCAGAAGTGTCAGATACTACATTATACTTGCAATGAATTGGATTTTCAAAACAAAAAAAAAAAAAAATAAAAACTGTGCTATATACAAATGTTGAGGCACACAATATAAGGACACAATAATTAAGGTATGTCACTATTACTCTTTCAATACAAATCAGAAACAGTCTGGACTACAAAGATGTTCTCCTTCCCTTCCTCCCTGTAGTTGTACCCGTAATTCTGGCTGGGCTAATGTGGACTTTAGGTGCAGCAATCCTCTGCAGGCTGCTGATTAAAACACAACTGCACACTCCCAAGAGAACGGTGAACCATTAAGCAGTATTTCAGTTCTGAAAAGCACATTCATTTATAGAAGCTTAAGAAGTGTGGGCTTTCTGCTGTTGCAAGCCATTTCTATGCACAACACTGATATCCACAGCCCAGTGACCGGTAAGCCCACTCTTACACTTCCTAAGCATTCAAGTGATTCTCAGAATAGTTTTTATTCTGTAGCTGACAAAGGACTACTTGTATATACCACAGGCAGCTTGAATTCTAAGCACCAAGTTGCTAGAGAACCTCAGCTGGCACTTTTTTAATATGACAAATGTACGGCGATGAGCCATTGCGAGAAATTTGGTTATATGTGAATCTTCAGTCACTGATTTTCAGTAGTTCATAATGTGACTAATATCTGAATTAAAACCATAGAGAAGCCTATCGAGTAATAATGAAAGTTAACCAAAAAGAAATGTCCATATGTTAGACCAAAGCATATGCTTATCATTCTTATTTCATCTAGTACCCCTTTAAAGATAGAAAATGATATTTACTCAGGCAACAAATGATAAATTCCTGATTTTACTGAAATACTATAGTAAGGATTTTACTCCATAGGGGATGCACAGCTCTTCCTAGCCATGCTTTGGAGTCAAATTCTAAAGCTACAATAATTCCAGTGGATCAGTATTTCCTTCATTTTTTTTATTACAGCATGTTTGCTAAATTTACAGCAAGCAGAAAATAAGCTGGGTCTTTAGTTATTTTGATCAAAACATTGATGTTTTAAAGGTAGTACACAATATTTGTTAAAAAGAACATATAAAAATACCTTTTTAGAAGCCTCTATAAGAAAGGAAATACAAAGTTTAATCCCACAACTTTCCTCTGCTAGAGCTGCACACTACTGCTACAGTTTTAAATAGACTTTATGCTGTTTTTAAACTATACATCCAGGAAAGTCTACAAAACTAAAGGAACGTGCATATAAATGATTGCATAGCAGAACATGAACAGTAACTGCAAACAGTAAAGGAAAAAGTTAGAAACACCATCAAACGTACCAAGGTTCCTAGAATCAATCCCCTAAGCACGTTCTGCCACTAACATTTAAAAGCCATTTGCATTTCTTGAAAGGCCCTGCTGAACACTAAAACCAAACCCTAAAACACTTCTCTAAAGATGATCTTTTTGAAATTTGTGTCTTCATTCACTACACAGACAGCATGGAACACCGGGTGTCTGATGCTGGCTTTTTAAGACAAAGAGAAAAAAAAAACAATGCCAAAAGCCATTTTCATAACAAAATATCTTGCCTTCTTCTAGAGAAATACTGTTAAGATTACACACTGGTTTTGTTATTTTTCACATTTGATTTACTAAATGCACTGCATTAGTGAAACTAAATAGCTAGAGATGCAGCTCTTGTTCATATCCAACTTTAAACACTTGTTCTTAAGTAAAATGAAATTTTGTAACCAAACCACTATCCATTCTGAGGAAGAAGTGATTCAGACTTGCTTGACTAAATATTTCTCAATGTATAAAAGCAAGCCTTTTTTACTCGAGAAGAGAGATGGCTACAGTTTTATACCTATGAATACACCAACTAACCACAGGAGTCATTGGCATAAAAGCTGAGTTCTTATATACTGTACACACACAACTTGAAACAATCTACTTGCATCTAACAGCGGGAAAACTAAGCAATTTCATGGTTAACTGCTCACTAAAATTTAGAATAGATACAAAAACTGCGTAAAATATACACACAACCTAATATTTAGATGCTCTGCCATTTTCTGGAATCCGAATTTAATTTTCCATTTCAAGGTCCCCCCCCTCAACCCTCACATATTTAGTATTAGCAGCCAGGCCAAGAGCAGTGAAGCCCCTTTCCTGACAAGTCACAACACTGCACAGCCTCTGACCGGGCTTCCAAGACCAGCTGTGTCCCGTGCAGTACATGCAGCGCTAGCTCCACCTCTCCAGATGGCAGAGAAATTTCAAAAATCTCTCTCCACAGAGCTCCATTTACAAACCTACTTGTCACTGGGCATGGAGAACACAGAAACCTGCCTCTGAACAATGAAAACGTAAAATTACCAGTCTGCATTTCACAGCAGTCAGTGTTGCGCTACAGCTGTCCAGTTTTCCATTTCATCACAACGTTTAGCGTTAAAGAACACGTTAAACAGCTGGTTTAACTGTTCAGTACAAACTGGTATCAATTGCTATGGGCATGACATTTTGAACAGGACAAGGTTGCAAATTACGACCAATCAAGTCATCACCGATATCTAAGCATTCAAAATGCAAATCTTTACAAAAATATACATTGAGACACCACAATCAATTCAGAGCTGCCCATAACACGTAACCAAGAGGACATTCTCTCTCTCTCTCCCTCTGTCTCAGTGGCTGCTCCACACTGTTTTAAACTTTAACCATTGTTGTCTGCTACAGGGAAAACTGACGAAGAAAAGATTTTTTTAGCACTGTTGCAACATCATATTCCTGATAATTTAAGTAAACTGAACTGTGTGTAAATGAGTCTTACATGCCTAAAACCAACGTGGACTCACTATTAGTGGCCACTGGACTTGGGACTAGTCCAAGACCTTGATCTGGATTTTGACCTAGATCTAGAATGTGATCTTGACTGTGATTTGGATCTAGCTGGTTCTTTTTTTCTCGACTCCTTTTCATATCTTGAGCTGGACTTATAGTGTGTTTTAGAATCTGTTTTAGAAGTGCCTCTAGATTTGGTGTGAGATGCAGACCTAGACCGTGATTTAGCCTTCATTTCTTTCTTGGGCTGTGACTTGGATCGTGATCTTGAATTGGACTTAGATCTTGAAAAAGATCGATTGCGGTGTTTGAACCTATCAGAATAAAGGGGAGAGAGGAGATTTGAATGTAAAAACACTATTCTTAGACATCTAGTACATTAAAAATTGTTTACCATTTTTTTGCAGGAGAAACGTTTTTTTAAACCTACATTTAGGGAATACAATGGTCTACTTTTCAATGTAAAAAGCGTAAAAATTATTTTACCTATCATTGTCCGAATGGCTTCTGCTACGACGAGGTCTTCCAGTAGGTCTACTGCTAGAAAGGCACATCAGAAAAAGCAAACAGTGACAAATACCTATGTATGTATACAAGTGATTAATATATTTTTTTTTTAGCATGCATTTGCTTTTCAGTTATTTTTTGATGAACCACAAAAGCATTTCATTCAGTGTCTGATTTGATGCAGCATGCAAGCACATAACTTCCACAAGACAATACAAAAAAAGAAAACTCAAGATTTTTAACAATTAAACAGCCTATGTGGTGTTTTTCTTCCAAGAGACTGCTGTGCTGTTGAAGCCAAACACACGCTACACTTACTTTCTGGGACTATATGATCTTCTATAGCTGTAATCAAAAGAGCGACTTCTAGATCGTCTCCTTTCGTAACTCCGGCTCCTAGATCGCCTGTATCTGTCATAGTCATCATAACGAGAAGAACTGTATAGGTTTCTCCCCTCCTTGGCTTTCATTTGATTTGGTGCTGGAAAAAACAACAACATTTAACATTGAAAGTTTTCTAAGTACCCTACTTTCCTTTTAGTGACAGCACTCCCGCTATCCACACATTTGACATTTAGTAGAGAACCTATTAGTGATTCTAGCAAAGGCGCTTATGGAAAGGACAGAGATTGCAGCAAGCCACTTGCATTTTGCTGCTTTAAATGCTGGACAAAAGCATTGTTGCCTTGTGAGTAATACTGTCCTAGAAAGAAAGCAAACAAACCCCCCCAGAAAACCCACACACCACCAAAACAACCCAAAGGAAGACAGAAAAAAACAGCACAGACAGTAACAACAGTGGAATGCTTCACAGAGCCAGAAACACAGAATTGTTTCTGTAATGCAATTTCAGGCCACCTGGAAAGAGTGACAGGCTGCCTGAAAAACTCAACCATGAGCAAAACGGCCCAGCATTCCTAAATGTACCTAAGCAGCTAACAGTGAATTAATTAAACACAGTACCACGCATTAAACCTGATCCACAGTCTTAATTATTAAAAGTCAACTTATACAGAAGCTGCAACTGATGAAGTCACACAGAGAGGTTTGATCCTACAAGGATCCCTCTCCCCTATATAACAACGCACTTCACCCTGTAACATTAAAATCATTAGATAGAACACAAATCAGAAGTCTTCTTTCTTAACAAAAAAAGCACAGATTTAAATGCACCACGCTGTACAGAGCGCTACCTGTACTGACAGCTACCATTTCCATGATTTAATGGCTCCCGCTGACAATACTAAAACAGACTAGCTAATTTTTTTGTTCAGAAACTCAAAAGAAATCCCAATGTTTACATACAGGACAGATGCTTGCTGCGCAGAGCATCATTTCCATTGAGTTCAGTAAAAGTTAACTGTGCACGTTTCAAGTGCTACTTTGATAGTTTTAACTGAAAAATCTTTAAGGCACTTTTATTAACTAGCTGCACATGACTATTATAATTCTACTCTATACCAGTAGGTAGCCATGTCTTATGCTCCTTCTCTTTAATATATCTGTATCTACCTATACTTATGAATACATTCATAAGTAACAGAAAATACATAACAGTTATTTCTTCAGAAAACAAGACTTATTTTTCAAGTTGAAGTGAGATGCTTTGAAATTAATTTTCCTGAAACCAAATGAAAATGAAGATTTTACCTCAATCCTGGAAACCGGACCGCACTGGGAAACATCAACAAAGAATCAAGAACACACTTAACCACAATATAAACATTGCAATGCATTAAAATTGGGTTACTCATTTTGACAGGGAAAATTTTTGAAAGTGTGTTCCTGAAAAAAAGAAAAAGCTTGACAGCTGCACAGATAGTTCTTAAGTACATTCAGCGAGTAGCAAGAATTAGATCATGGTGACTGTTACACTTAGCTAGCTGTTTTTAATTAGCCAGGATACATTAATAACGTGCCTTCAATACAAAACATCCTTTGATAAAAGGAAAAAACCCACAACCACATACTATTTATATATCAGCAATAATGTATCATAACAATTAATAACAGGGGTAACGTCATCTGGCACTAAGCATTATGGCTGAAGCCATGATCTGATGAAATACCCAGGGAGGCACTTACTCTTCCGATCGCCCTGCGCAAACTGGATTTCTATCTGCCGACCACAAATCCACTTTCGGTCCAAATTATGGAGAGCATCTTCAGCATCGCGGACATCTTCAAATGTGGCAGTGTTAAGGTACTTGAGAATTTGAGTAGCTTACAGATTCAGTATTGAGAAGAAATCAGTTATCTTCTAGTTTTACAGGCCGTTATTTCTGAATGTTTTGTTCACAGCAGTAAGTACTGCAGCTTTTTTTTTTTTTTTTTTTTTTAATTAGCCACCAATTACCTGAGACTTCCTATAATAAAATTAAAAACTCACAATGCAGGCACGAACTTACCAATCAGCAAGCAATTGCTATGCAATATCCTAACTTCTTCTTCCACTCGTAAGGAAGAAAACTGTATCCTTCTCAAAAATGCATTATTTGCTAACGGTGGTTCAACTTTCTGCACTATATTCACTTTACTGAAAAGAAATCTTACTTCTGAAGTTGCTAGGCATACAAACAATAGAAATCAATATTTATCTATTAATTTTAAAATTGGGATGATGCTTTCCTTTTTGTCCACTGGTTGTTTTACATTTAAATGACATAATGCCAAGGAGATACATACAGACCTTCAACAGCCAGAGATAAAGGCATACACTGAAGCCCCTGCACTCCAACGTTCAGGAACAGAATAATTACTAATTTTTATCTGTGAGACTGATTGCTACTTTAACTCACACACCTTTCGGCTATGGGGCAAAGAGCCAGATGCCTTTCTTCTCACAGTAACTCAGTTCAGCAGCAGCATCTACACAGAAAACAAACTATCAAGTGGCAGGTATAAGTATCTCCATTACCAAAGAATGAATGCACTTTCATTCCAGACCACAGTTATGACAGCACTCACAATGTAACAGGTTTTGCCAATGGACTAAACCAGCATCATTCATCAAAATTACTGCTTACATGACAAACAGAAGAAAAACTGTTATTCTGTAGGATACATCAGGTATGACTCCTTTAAGCTTGGCCACCATTCAACTTCATCTTGACCTTTAACTCTTTAAGGGCTTGTCAGAAGGACTTGTCATGAGATGCTTGGCCAAAAATGACAGATGGCTTTATCTTTAACTTTGAAAAACAACCTTTTCCCCCTTTTGCAGATAAAGCGAAGCTTTGTCTCCCATTATGGCTTGTCCTTCTTCCAGCTTTTCTTTATTTTTTCTTTTCCCAAACTGTCCCTTCTCTTCAAGCCTGATCCTTAAGAGGTCTTTGGCTTGTCTACTTGCCTCAATTGTTGAACTCTACTCTAAAGGTTCTTTCATGCTTTCTCTTTGGGGTCGCCAATACTGTACAGCTTTACATTCTGAGGCAACAACAGAGGACAGTAAATTAGGGGACAATATTAAAGAAAGTTCACCTCATTTGTTATACAATCTGCTTTTGATCAAGTGATTCCAGTTCCCATTTGTTAAATTAACAATAAATACTAGCCACAGTTTGCTAAGCGCAAGTTTACTTACGTACCAGTTATAATAGAAACCTGGTATTTGAATCAGTGATAAATTTTCATTTCAATCGCATAATATCAATTTCAGTGACATAAGAAGGCTTATATATTACTGGACTTAAGTTTTGCAAAAAGGTAAAGACAATTGGAGAAAAGTTAATCTTAAAAAAATAACGAGACACATATAAGACACTTATCAGAAACAACACAAAAGTAAACTGCTTTTTCATTTAGATATGTTACCTCTTACACAAACTTGAATTTCAAACTTCAACACCCCTCACTAACCAGCCATCTGAAGAAAGGATATTGAACATAAGCAAATCCTCTGGGACGACGAGTGTAGAAGTCAAGCGGAACGTATACATCAACTATAGGCCCATAACGACCAAACTCACGGCGCAAGTCTTCAGACCTAGAATATCACAAATATCTTACATGTCTTCCCACTATTTAAGGTATTAAAAAATAATTATATATATGTGTGTATATATATATATATATATATATATATTAAAAATCTACAATCACTCATCTTTTTATATGGTAGAAGATGCATGTAGCAAATAATGTTGGGGGAAGTGTATGAGCTGTTCATTGCTAAAGCAACGCGCCAGGCTGCCCAAGATCACCACCACGGTTCAGGATGCTTAGGATAACCTCGGTATTTTGAAATCAGTGCTCAGCACAACTCAGCAACATAAATGTAAACAGAGACAAGAAGTGACACACAGTAGCCAAGCCAGTTCAATGCAAAGGTGGGCAGAAAGTGAAAAAAGGAATCTAACAATTATTATACTAATCATTAACATTGATTTTACAAAGTGTAAACATGAGCTGTAATGTCCAAAGGAAAAGCACAAGAATAACTTTGTCACTCTTACTGACTTCTATGGAATAATCAATACTTACAACCACATCAAAGAACAAAGCCGGAGTGAGAAACCATTCATGCCCTTAGGTCAACTGTCCCAAAGATGTGGCTTTAGAGCAGAAGACAAAACTGTTCAACAAGTTTGTGACAGCACTTGAAATAAGTGCTGTCTCCTCAACAGAGGAACGTCTTTACTCATATCTTCTGGTGTCATTTTAGGACAATAGGGAAACATTCACATCACGTAAACACAATATTACATCAAGGAGTTACTGATGCTTATTCCTCTTTCACATTTGTTGGAAAAATAACTACACTGTACATTATCAATGACAGCAGAAGGCAGCTATAACAACCAGCTTCAGGGTCTCACAATGGAACCATCTCTAACAGGAATGAGCCATGTAACAGTAAGCTTACACTGAAAGCCTAAAAGGGAGCACTGTCAGTTAAAAAAAGAAGTTTGAAAACGAGCCTTCTTCCATGACTTCTAGAAGAAAATGATCTGCAGGCAAAGAAGAAAGAAAAGCCGTGCAAGAAGAATCACTTTTAATTTGAAATTACTTATATTCTTTACGGTCATGAGGTTCCTAATTCATTCAGCCATGCCTACGCCACTGTTAACTGAACACCTTTTGTGCAACCTTCCGGGCAGCAGGTCTCAGAGCTCAGGCTTGTGATTTACACAGCCAGACCTCGCAACGACTGCCACACCAAACCCACGATCACCAACAGCAGAACCGCCGCGTCGCAGAAACGGAACGGAGAACGCCAATACTCCGACAGCCACGTGCAATGGATTCCTTTTAATTCTTTTCGCTCATTGCGAAGATCTCTCCCCTAAGCCCCTGCACGTACGTTTACGTTTTGCTACAACATAATTATTACGGAGAAAAACGTTTTCCGTCTCTCCCCTCCCACTGAGCGCCACCGGAGGCCGCAGCCCGTAACAACCAGCGTGAACGAGCGGGCGGCAACTACCGCAGTAACGGAACGAAGCGCGCGGAATTTCGGGGACGTCCATAACGAAGGCACCGCTACGCCTTCGGGCAGCACCGCCCATTTAAGTCCAGACCGCAAAGCCTGGCGGCTGCCGGCGTCCCCCCTCCCCCATCCCCGGGTAGCGGCGCTCCGCGGGGCGGCCGAGCTTTGTTCTCAGCAAGGCCCTGGGAAGCGATCAGCGCGAGGTGGAGGAGAAGAGGGCGGCGCCGCGGGGAGGCGGTGGGCGGCCCGGTCCCGCACGGCCTGGCGAGCCCGCGAAAGCCTGCGCAGCCCCCGCGCCGCGCTGGCGCCTGCTCCGACTCACCGGGTATCGTCGGCCACGTTCCGCACGAAGAGCGAAGTGTTGGGAGGGCGCAGGTAGCGCGACATGGCGGCGGCACGAGGGGCGGCGAGCGGCGGGGCCCGGGCGCGGCGGGAGCCGAGGCTGAGGCGACCCTCCAAGCAGCACGCAGCGCCACCGCCGCCCGCCCGCCGCCTCTCGCGAGACTTCTCGCAGGGCTTCCGGCGAGAACTCCGCGCGAAAAAGAACGCGCGCAGAAAGGAGCCACGGGCGCCAAAACCCGCGCAGCCCTTACTGCGCGTGCGGCTTCGACTCACGCGTGCGCAGAATGCGACCACCAGACGCTCGCGGCCCATGCGGGAGAGGACCCCTCCCACTTGCAGGCTCCGCGCATGCGCTCTGAACCTCTCCTGGAAGGGCTGTATTTTCCCGCCCCAAGATGGGGGAGCGCGGGCGCTCCGTTTGTTGTTCGCTGTTGAAGTGGCAGCGGGTGGGGCGCCGTAGGGGGCCGTGCGGGGGACCCTGCGCGGAGGCGAGCGGCCGTTCTTCAGTTAAGTCGTTTGTTTGACGAGAACAATAAAGCAGGTAGTTCTGTGGCTGACATTTAATGGTCGTTGTGCCGATAAACTCATTCTGTGGCTGAATTCGTTACCTCAGGCAGCATGAAGGCTGTGTTGCGACCTGCTGTGGTGAGGGGTTTTCAGACCCACAGACACAAAAGGAACAGCCCCTGCCTCTCCCTGCTCCCCACGGGCTCCGTGTGTCAGCACGTTAAGGGGCTGCGTTCGTACGCGAGCTGTAAAAGAACAGGAACACGAGCCAGGAAAGCGTTAGAGACCAGAGTTATGTGGGAGTGCGTGACACAAAACATCTGTGGTAAAACGGGGAAAATTCCTATTGCAGACACATAAGCAGTGAAACCAGCGAAGGGTGCAGAGTGTTGAAGGGTAGGAACTCCTGCTGCAAGGGTTACCCCTTTAGAGCTTTTAGAATTGCAAATGAGCAGTTTCAACAAGATCTAAATAGTACTAACATCAAGATTCAAATGAAGCCCTCTGCAGAAGGCGGCTGCGTGGATGGGGATCAGTACCACCGGCCAGCGATAGGATAAAGCTCACAACTCAGCCGCAGTCATCAGGTTTGGGTGGCTTTGCCAACAGAACCATGCTGAGGATTTTCCCACATCCTTGGTGTCCCAAGGCAAAAGAGCGTTGGATTGACAGGATGGGCACAGTTGCTGGAAATGTGACGTCCTGGAAACTGTGAAGAATTTAATAATTTTTTGGTGCCTTCAAATTAAAATGACATCACTTTATATACCATATATGAATGAATATGCTTTAGTATGTGATATTTTCAACATGTGATGTATCTGCAGTCTGGAGTGCAGTGCCCCTTTCGATTCTGGCAGTCCTGTACCGAGCCTGAACTTTGGAGAGGAGTTCAAATAGGAAGAGCATCTTTTCAAGTGTGCAGGGAATGTCTGAATAGTCCATGAACACCACTGAGACCTTTATTTTAAAGGTGTTTATTTTAAAAAGAAACACACATATGTGCGTTTTGCTTTAATGTCAACCCTATCTTATGTCAAATCAAAAGCAAAGAATTACGGTTTTGTAACTTTGGAAGCGCTCTGTCCAGTGATCTGACTTAGTTAAAGTCATTCAGAAATCAAGCTGGCATATCTCTTATTTTGTATCCTACAACTTACTAACAGAGCATTTGATCATTGAAGATTTTCACTGTTCTGCAGGCATGCTGTTGGAAAACAGTTGTGTTGTCATATGTCACTGTGTGGTTAGCAGCAGTTACACAGCAGTTTCCAGACAGAAATTTGCCTAACTCTTACATGGCCTCCTGCAGTCCTGATGCTTTAAAAGTCTTCCTGAGTTTATCAGCGTCTTGGCTTCCATTCTGTTTTTAGTTATGTTAACTCACATGGAATTTAAGGTCTGGAAAAGGGTGCACGGAATCACAGAATCACGGATTCACAGAATTGTAGAGGTTGGAAGGGACCTCCAGAGATCATCGAGTCCAACCCCCCTGCCAAAGCAGAGCAAACACTGATGATGCAGAGGGATCCAGGTAGGCTGGCTCGAGGGGCCACTCTGTAATGACTGTTAAATACTTCACAGCGTTTAGGATGTTACTGCTGCTCTCACTGCAGTCCCAGTGTGGGTCAACTAAACAGGTATCTATTCATTTTTTTGCTGAATAGCATAGAGAGAAAAGAATTTCCAGTAGAACATGGCACTTTCCTATAAAAAGCGGTTAATGTTGAATATGTTTATTAATCTGGTAAGGAAGTGAGAAACATATCAGCTTCTGTCCCTTCTCAATGATCACTATGGTAAATCAGCATTTTTCAACTATGTCCAGCTTTGGTTGTCTGAGAGGGAGACCTCAGTTGTTGTGGGTATAGAAGAGATCTGTAAGCATACGTGGGGAAAACAGAATCTTACAGTAACAGGAAGTGATTTTATGTATAAAAGTAAAAGTCATCATTATTTTTTGTACTGTACAGCAATAGCAAAGATGGACACATCTTATGGAAAGTGCACTTTATTTTAAGTATGTAAAGATGTCACAAAGAAGGTGATCTGTCTTTAAACTCTCTTGCTTCTTCTGACAAGTGTAACTCCACCAAAAGTAAGAGTCTGTAGATGACAAATACAACTTGTTTTTCATTTGGACTTCAGGATAGCTATTAATAGTTAAGTCATTAGAAGTTTCTGTAATTCATTTATAAACCCAGATTATCACAGAAGAACATTCTACAGAGTTTAGTTACAGAAATTACAATGCCTGCCTAAATATATGTGAAAAATGTTCGTATCAAAGAGTGTTTCTGGTTACTTTCTTTCTTTTTTCTTTTTTTTAAACAAAACCAGTTCTGAAGAGGGGTAATCTAAATATAAATGCCATTATCAGCTGCATTTAATCACTGTTTTAAGGAGCATAAAGATATACTTCCCATAGTGGAAATACATCATGCCAAATAGTAAGGGGTTCTTTTGCATAGTGTTTTGCACTTTTTTTTTGGTTTTCCTATGCAGTGCTCAACAGCTAAAGCCATTCACACTTCAGTGCTTAGAATTGTCCCCAGCATAACAATTAATAAGCACTTGTTAAGAAAGATGCATTAAATGTACAAGCGTTGTTTAAAAGAGAGTCATTCAGGGCACCCAGTTTTTATAACAGGAATAGTAAGGGACACTGGTGTTTTCCACTGCGATTAGTCTGAAATACTAAAATTCTGAATTTGCAGATTTACACATCTGTTAAGAGCTCTGCAAGCAATGTAGTCATTTGGGGGCCAGTATTCTTTGAACATATAGACCCTACACGAAGAGCTGATCAACAGAGAACGTGTTTTCATTCAGCATTTAATAAACCATAGTTTTCCATCACTTACCTCTACCATTTCATTTCCTTTAACTTCTTGTTCATGTGAGAATTTTTCTGATTTGCACACAAGTTTCCCATTTACCAACTGCACAGTGCACTGTTAAAGCAGATTGAAAACAGAAAACAGTGGAGATTTTGAATTTCAGTTAGGAGATGGATAGGAAGTGACTCTAGCATAGATAGGAAAAAAATGCAGGTCACATCGATGCTTTGTAATTGCATCTGTTGATTGAAGCAGGAGTATTTTAATAAGAGTTTTAGAATAATAATTTCTGTTGGTCAAAATGCATGCGTTTGCTCTATTTTTTTATTTATTTATTTACTTTTGCTAACGGAAATGGTAAAAACAAATCTCATTGCAGAACAGAAAGTGAAGTATAAGGGTGAGCAGAGAAATTCACCTGTTTCTGAAATACATTACCTTTAGCTTTTTGCCATCCATAGTAGTAATGTCAGCCTCTTTTCCAAGTGTAAAGGAGTTAGTCACACTTTGCTTGGGTGTTTTTGATGTCACGACAAAGTCATCTCCTTTTTGTTGTATTTCAACAATGGGCTTAATATCTCGAGCCACTTTGATAAGGTCTTCTGGCAGTGCTGTGAAGAAAGACAGAAAAGGACTTCTATTATGGATTTGTGTATTTATATGAAATAGCAAATCAGGATGCAGAATGTACAAACCAATAACAGAAAATAGTCTGCGAGGTTGAAGGCAAATGCTGTTTTGGGTTCCTCACTTCTCTATGGACATAGCATTCCGTTCCACGTAGTCTGTGTAGATTTTGGCACTATAATGACCTTAAGGTACTTTTTCAGTGCGTCTTTAGCATGACTTGAAAGTACCACCTTTAGCAGTAAGGGGTTGGTGTAGGCATCGCGCTGCAGGACTGGGCTTTTCAACTATAACTGAGTTTTAATTCTACCGAGTATCTATTACATGCTTTAAAACACTCAAGTGTGAATGTTTTGCCATGATTGTCAAGAAGGTAAGTGCATTTTTATTTATGTGGTACCCATGAAATCATAACCACCAAGTTGATTCTTTACAGATTACTGAGTAGCTGTCACATACATTAATCAGTAGCGCTATCGAAAGTGCCCCTCTGCTAAAGAGCACTGAAAATCTGCAAGCCATTAACAAATTGGTTACAGTTAAACGTATTTATAACATCATGCGTTAACCAAAATAAGACACTTTATTACTTGTACTTATTCTTTCCTAAGGGACTTGTCATCGTTTCTTTTCTTTTTCAAATCAGACATAATAGACTTAACTGATGAGTAGTTTATCACACAAACAAAAGAAAAAAACAACGTAGAAATACTATAATAAAAGATGTCTGCAAAGCACGTGTCACAAACAGAGCAAATTATTTGAGAACTTAACACTCACCAAGAGCTTTCAGAAATTCCTCATAGTTCTCTTGAGCATAGACCTGCCAGGTGCCGCTGAATGCCATTGTGGATGAGAAGGCGCAGTGTGAGGGCAGTGCTGCCAGCAGTCAGAGCTCTGGCTGGTCCTCCGGGTGCTATTTATAGAAAGGGTGACACCAGCCCAGACTGCGAGATGATCAGCTAATTATTAACAGCAAAGTAACACTTATTAATCTCATATTTGCTCTCAATGATCATAACCTCTCGTTCATTCTGCTTTCTACAGAGTCCTACCTTGACCAAATCTTTTGGGATGTTCTGTTTATTGGTGGGTCACTGAACTCAGATAATTATTCATAATAGTTGCAAAGTGTTGCCTTGATTAATTAGTTTTATTTTTGTATACAACTTCTATTTGTAATATGTTTTTTATTTCTTCAGATACAATAGCATAATTTAGATGTGAGATGATTACTGTCATGTGATAGGACAGCATATAGTGTATGCGCTATGAGCAGTTGGAACGTAAGTGGTGGAAATAAAGCCACAAATGCTTCTTCCGGAATTGTGGTACTCCAGTTTCGTGGTAGCAGAGAAAATCATTCTGGAGCAGTCAGTTTTGATTTCATCCAGTAGATGTCAGTAAAGTGTATCTAAATCTGTATTAAATGTAGGGTTGTTTGTTTTCTTTCCAATAGCCACCGTACACAGGAACATTAAAGGTAAAATTAAATACAAAACATTACTTGGAGACCAAAATTAAAGAAGTAAGTGGAATGCGTGAAGTATTTTTCTTCTCACCAATTACACCAAGAATTCCTCACCCAGAGATAGCGAGTGATATTCCTTGTTGTCCGTGCAAGAATGATTGTTGATTTTGGAAGACATTGACTAAATTACTATCTTGCAGTTATATTGCTTAATTCAAATAGAGCCCATATCCCAGGGGTTGCCGACCTTCCTAAGTTAACTTTTATTACTCCATACTAATCAGTAATTCTTCCATTTCAACAGGAAAAACAATGCTGAACTTTTTCCTACAATTTCACAGTTATTTTTAGTATGTAATTTTAAAGAAAATGCAGACAAAGAGCTAGATGCCTGAAGTGGAGGAAATGTTCATGCTGAAGCCTATTTCTCTTCTGGTTTTTATTAGAAGGGAGCATGCAAGGCTCTGGGCTGAGAAAACTTGTGCTCTAGTTCTGATTAATCAATGTTATGGTTTCAAGACCACATTTCGTTTATACATGCTGTCATCTGTTTTGTTGTGTTTTCAGAATCCTGATTTTTTTTTTTACATTCACATGCATAAACAAACCTCTTCCTCCTAGCAGCGCTCAGACCAGAACAGTTAGTGGGAGGTCAATAGATGGCTCGCTTCTCATGACTTCGGGAAATTCCTTATTACTGCAAACTATCCATATACCAGCAAGTGTAACATACTTTCTTCAAGGACTCCTCATGTACGTAACATAGTCTCTGGCTATAAAAAAAAAAACACCTCATCATTGGTAAAATAGTCCTAGCAACTTGCTGTAGTTAGCCATGCTTGCGCAGGATTTGGACAAGTTGATCTCCAGAAGTCCTTTCCAAACTGAGCAATAGTGTGAAATCAAAGAGTTAGATAAAGCTTTTCTAGTAATCTTTCCATTGTCCTCTAAAGAGCACTGTTGTCTCTGGGAAGCTAAACTTGACACTAAGAAACCAAAAAAGAAATGCCACACACTTGAGATGGAATTCACATGTTTACAGTGTTTACAGAGCTACTTTGCAATACCAGTGTAAATGCTTTTCTGTATTAGTTTTTTTAATTGTGAATATATATATTCTAAATCAAGATGCACAATTTTTCTAATTTAATTTACACAGAATAATACCTTGTTGTCTGAGTGGCAGGGATGAGGTCCTGGTATTGGATAACGCTGGATGTGTGCGTGGGATGTCGCTCACATGACTGCAAAGCCTGGGTGCTTATACTGGAGTTATTCTAGGATGTGATAATCTGCCTTACCATAGAGCAATGTGAACAGTGCCTTCCATCTCTGTGGACTTTCACTCTGCCCTCTTGTGTAACAATTACAGCACACCAGTCCAGAGGGAAGCTGTCCGCGTTCTTCTGCAAAGCTCCAAGCCTTGGGAGTATCGCTGCCTTGTTTTCGTCCCATTCGATTCATGTTTGTGAAGGTCAACACTTTGGAGTCCCAGTTCACGTGGTACTTAGAAAACTTCTGACTAATTTCAAAATGAATGTACTTGACGACAGTGGTGTCACTCTTTGTAAGTTTAATAACAGACGTAAGTGTTTCTCAGCTACAAGATAATAAGTAACATACAAGAATTTAATACAAAAAAAAGCCCCTATACTAATAGCTTGGTTCTCACGTACCCTCTGGTATTTCCTACACAACATGTTTTTACAGGGAAGCAGTTTCTCTGTAAAGAGAGCATGAGAGTGAGTACATGTGCACACATACACTTACAGAATCACAGAATGGCCAGGGTTGGAAAGGACCTTAAGGATCATGAATTTCCAACCCCGTCACATGCAGGACCACCAACCTCCACATTTAATACTAGACCAGGCTGCCTAGGGCCCCATCCAACCTGGCCTTGAACACCTCCAGGGACGGGGCATCCACAGCCTCTCTGGGCAGCTGCTCCAGCACCTCACCACTCTCACAGTAAAAAACTCGAGAATTACTTACAAATGAGAATTGTTTTCTAGCAACCAAAAAGTGAAAATACTGCAACATTACTGAAACAAAAATAAAGGAATGAGCCTAAATTTTAGGGTGGAGACACTCAAAAGAAACCAAAGGGGTTAAATTCCTTCTAAATTCACTGAGATATAGTTGCCTGGTTCATTTAAGCTTTCTTGTTATGGTCTCACTTGGGTCTTCCTTTTCTTCCATTCCAATGGGTATCTCTCCACGCTTGTAGACACTGACAGTCACCTGTCCTGTTTCGGAGCCATATTTGTTCTTAACATAGATGCTGTATTTTCCCGTATCTTCATTGCAGACTTTCTCTATGGTAATCGTGACAACTGTCCCCTTCACATCCATTCTGTACCGATCTTTAAAGACGATCATTTTCTCATTTTTGAACCAAGTGATTTCTGGGTAAGGATCTCCAGAGATACAGCAAGTTAAACAAAGGGTCTGTTGTAAAACAAATAGTAGAGATAGATTACGAAGACACAAATAAGCAAGATGATGTGATGATGTTAATAATTAAAAAAAAAAATAAAAAATCAAGATCAGTAAAAATCCACAGGAGCTTCTTATCTATAATCTCTCTGTTCTAAACAGATTAGAACAGATTAACTTCATCAAAGAGCGCACATATTTTTTCTTAGGTCTGTGTTACTTAAAATGAGAGTGACAGTTCCTGAAAGGCGTGTGTTATTTGGTTATTCTTGTTACTTTGCAGTTACGTTGAACTTGCTGTCTAATCATGGATCCATGTAAATAGCGGTGCTCATTTTAATGTTATTAATATTTCTTGCTGCTTCTGTGAAACTAGAAAATTCTTACAATAGTGACTTTGAGTCACTTCCACATCCGTGGTAGTACGATGCCAGAAATGACAGCGAGCATTTAAAACCAAGAGTTTTCTCCCCAGCAGTCATTTCCCTACATCTGTGCAAGGTCCAGTTATCCGAGTGATTACTCAACATTACCTTATCCTCCATGATGGTGGCTACATCTGGCAGACCTTGAACAACTCTGGCACGACCTGGGAATGAGCAAATATGACCCCTCAGTTTTACTTTCAATGTACCACTTGGTTTTGTTTGGCAGAAGAAATTCATTTACTTACACTTTTCTGCAATTGCTGCTTCTCTAAAAGTGAAGAGACAAAGACAAAATTATAATGATTTATTAGGTATGGTACCGAACACAACACTCAAAATAGATCAATTTGGCTGTAAAAATATTTAGGCAGGAACTTACTTTAGCCTTCTGTGCTCAGCCAGAGCATCTTCAAAGACTGCAAAAAAATGAAATGGTTTTAGGGAATGTTGCTGTTTATTTCTTTTGATATAGTGGGTTTAATATAATGCATCAATGCTGGAATTGCAGGTATTTGTGCACAAATCTATGCGTTATTAACTCTCATCTTGGCATGAGCATCTGCCATAAGGAAATCTGAATCTATTTATAAACTGTAAAAGTGTATAAAATAGAGCCTCGTACTTCCTTTCCTCAGGAGGAAAAAATCTTTTGAACAGTTTGGACAAGTCTTTATAAACTTGAAGCCATGTTGTTTCCAGGATGTCCCCTATAAGCTCTGTCAGCCTCCAGGACCCAGACTGGGAGCAGCTGCCCTCCCACATCCCTCCCCAGGAGTGCCTTATGCTCAGCAGTGCTCCCTAAAGGCTTCTGTCCTTTCCACTGATCCCTTCTCCTCCCTTTGTCCTCCCTTTGGCTTTGTTGGGCACTTGAATGTTCTTAGCCCAGTTTAGTAGCATGCTGTCACAGAACCATAGCTCCAACTCAAATGAAAGAGAAGTAATGCTGCCAGAGATCTGAAGGAATCTTGGAAAGTAGCTCAGGGAGATCTAATTCCTGCAATGCAGTTGTTGATGCAGCTTACCTTGCCCAGACAAGTCAGTTGACAGCTTGTGAGAGTCATTCCCATCAAACAACTCCAGGATGTACTTTCCTTTATCTGTATCTGTTGGGTTCAGTATGTGGAGCCAGATCTGATTCATTGTGCTCCCAGCTTTCAGCTTGTCACGAATTTCCAGTCGCTTCTCCCTAAATAAACAAATTCTTCAATTTCAATACAGTTTAGCAGACCTGCATGCTTTCTGTTAGACCTCTACCTGTTAGAACAACAGAGTGGGAGTCAGGACCTTGACCATCATTTTGTAAAGGGTTACGTACTCAGTCACTTGAATATCTCACTGGGCATCCATGCTTTCAGGTAGCTTGCTAAAGCTCTCAGCTTCTACAAAATACCTCATAGTTTTTATTTGGGAGATTAAATAAGAATTAGACACACTAGCACAGACTGCCCAGATAGGTGGTGGAGCCACCGTCCCTGGAGGTGTTCAGGAGTAGATGCAGTGCTTCAGGACATGGGCAGTATTAGTGGTAGGTGACAGCTGGAAAAGATTTCTAAGATAATCCAGTCCAACGCCAA